GAAGCTAAAACTTTACAATTGGCTTCCTTGGCATTCATAAAGAAGAGAATATCATCAGCAAACAGACAATGAGAAAGCATGGGACAATCACTAGTGATTTTAATTCCTCTCAGCACGCCATCTTCCACATTTCTGTTAATCATTCTTGACAATACTTCCACTACTAAAATGAATATATAAGGTGAAAGACGATCAGCTTGTCTCAACCCCCTTTCTCAAATAACTTCTCCCAACTTCCTACCAGATAAGCAAATATTCAATTTAACAGAAGAAATACATCTCGTAACCAAATCAACCCATCTTCAATGAAAGCCAAACTCGCTCAGCACTGCGCTCACAAAATTCCACTCCACCCTATCATAAGCCTTACTCATATCCATTTTAAGAGCAAACTCACTTCTGATTCCCTTCATTCTTCTCCTCAAATAGTGGACAATCTCCCAGGCAATTATTATCTTATCATGTATCTGTCTACCGGCAACAAAAGCTCCTTGAGTATTAGAAACACAAACATTCAAACAAGATTTCAATCTGTTAGCTAAAACTTTTGAGATTACCTTGTAAACAAAGTTACAAAGACTAATTGGCCTAAATTGACTCACATCTTTTGGTCTATTCACCTTTGGAGTCAACTTGATATTTTTTACAATAAGATCATCTATATCACATCTTCCTTCAAAGTAACCATCCACCATCTTCCACAACTCTTCTTTAACCACATGCCAAGATGATTGATAAAATTTTCCATTAAATCCATCAGGACCTGGTGCTTTATTCCCTCCCAACTAGAAAACAGCATCACACACTTTCTTCCTACAAACTGGACTTAGCAACAGATTATTCATATCATTTGTAACACAAGTTTCCACATACTGCAAAACCCCCCTCAAAACTTCTCCGTCCAGAGGTTTTAAAAAGGTCTTTATAAAAATTAACAAAGCAATCAGCAATCTTATTCTCATTTTCCATCCAAGTCGCATCCTCTCTTTTTAACTTCAAGACTGCATTCCTTTACCTTCTTTGGATAATGGAGGTGTGAAAAAAAATCTTGAATTTCTATCCCAGCTTGAAGCCAAGTTATGCGAGATCTCTGCCACCAATAGGTTTCTTCATTATGCCAAACTTTCTCTAACTCAGCTTCTACTTCCCCTATTCTCCTTATTACTTCATCAGAAAAGTCTCTTTCATAACAACTAGCCAGCTGACTCAGGAGGGTATCAGCCAAATTTTTATTATTTGGAAGAGTTTCCTTATTCCACTTAATAAGAACCCTCCTACAATTATTTAACCTCCTTATAACCTCCTGTACTTCATCCCATCTCGAATCTTTCTCCAAACTCCATCCAGATTTCACTTTGTCAACAAAATCAGGATGTTCAATCCACATTTGCTCAATTTTAAAACCTCTAGGAGTTTTAACTCTATTGTAATTCAAATCAGTTAACAAGGGTGTGTGATCAGAACCCACAGGCTCTAAGTGAAAAACTTGTGACCTGGGAAATTCCTCTCTCATATCCACATTTCCTAGCACCTTGTCAATTCTTTCTTTCACATTATCATCTAGCATCCTCTTATTGTACCAGGTATAACTCATGCCTTTAAAATCCAAATCAAGTAACTCACAATCGGCAATAAATTGTTGAAAATTAAGAATCTTCCTTACTGACCTTGCATTACCGCCTTTCTTTTCCTCTTGAAAGATTAGGTCATTGAAATCTCCTAAGCACACCCATGAGCCCGCAATGCCTCTAGCAATTTGTCTCATCTTGTCCCAGCATCTCCTCATTTCTATTTCTTTAGGAGGTCCGTAAAGGAAAGAAATGAATTCAGGAAGATCAAACTTAACAGAATCAACACAAGTATGTATCATATTCTTTTCACTATACAAGACAGTAATCTTCACTTCTTTACACCACCACACACATATGCCTCCACTTTTACCTTTAGGATCCACAACAAAGCCTTCCTCTGAACCATAGCTTCTCCTCGACCTTTCCACTACAACTTTTTTTGTTTCGTCTCCATCAAGAAAACTATTAGGGGTTTATGAATTCTACAAGCATTCTTCAAATTTTTAACTATCAAGGGAGCCCCAAACCCTTGACAGTTCCATGAGATAACACTCATTGTGCCGGGGTGGCTGTTTTAGACCAGCCACCAGCACCCTTAGCATCAATTACAATAACACAATCAGTCTATTCACCAAGGGAAGCAGCTTGACTAACATTCTGGATTCCTTCTGACGCTTCTCCTCCAAGATTCTGGGTTACACCGCCACACCCTATTTTTCTCATTTGCTTCTTAGGAATTCTACCTCTTCTTGTAACTCTTCTTTGAGTTAATTTCTGAGACGCATCAACAATCTTTGTGGTCTCAAAGAAAACTAAATTCCTTCTCTTAACATCTGACCTCTTCTCTTCCTCCATTAATGGCCTTTTCAACCCAATCTTCCTCAAACCTGTTACTATCTCCAACATAGGAGAAACACTCCCATATAATACTATTGCCTTAGACATATTGCTGCTTTTCTTAGGTAGAGACAAAGCTTTCTCTTCCTTCTCTTCAGACCTATAAATTGCAACCTCCTTCACTCCTTTTTTAATTGAAATTGAGCTAGCCTCCTGACATCCACTAGTCCCTACAATAACCTCTTCCTTCTCATTCTTCTTACCAACCATTACTGCTCAAATCCACCTCAGTCTTCTTATCACCTATATTCTTTTCCTTATTTGCCTCATCTTCCTTCCAAGGTAATTCAATCTATTTGCCTTTATCATTTGTCTTTCTTAACTTCATACCCTCCACTTCTTCCCAACTATCGTTACAGATAACTACTAACTCATCTATCCTTCTCACAGCCTGTACTCCCAACCAATTTCCATACTCTACAGAGCCAGGCTCTTTGTTGTCCTTGTACATACACTTTTTGATATCATGCCCCAGTCTCCCACAAGCAAAGCACAAATTCTGCAATCTTTCATATCTCACCTTGATCAATATAAGATCCTTATCAGGTCGTGGAGCACGAACTCTAGTAACTAGAGGTTTCTTTAAATCTAGAGATTTCTTTAAACTAACAAGCACTCGAGCACAAAGAAAACTCCTAGTTAACAGACCATCACACTTAGGATCCTCCACAAGAACCACCTATCCAATCCTCAAGCCAAGTGTAATGGCTTTTTCAACATCCATCAACGCCAATGGCAGGCCCTGAAATTGGATCCTAAAAAGGCACAAGTCAAAGTTTACCTCACTACCTACCATATCTTCCTCCCACTTTTCAATATTTAGGAGCCATCCATTAATTGACCATGGCCTTCCTCGTAGAATTTTTCTATAATCTTCTTGATATCAAAATTCAAACACAAAAGTCTTCTGATCCATCTCTACAATTTGCAGATCCTCTTTCTTTTGTAGATTCCATCCGTTTCTGATCATCTGAATTAACGTAGCAACATTCAGATTCTTCTCTGTAATCATTCTTCGAATCAGAGCACCACCCCCAAACCTTCTCTCTTCTTTCCTCCTCCACACCAAATTAACCTCAAGAGTCATCTTCTTCTCTTCCGACTTTCTTTCTCTCGAGCTTCCTTCAAACTCAATTGACATTATTCCTCCGATCATCTATTCCTCACCACACTTCTCTCTCGTAGAGAACGATTGAGAAGCCACTCTTTTTATCTCCACCACAGTGGGGGATGAACGGCACTCTGAAAAACCTCCTTCATAGCTGTAATCAACGACAGAACAAGTTACAAACACGACAATGCCGTTGTAACTAACTCTCACAAGAAGAGAGAGAAAACTCCCACTCAAGAGAGAGAAAAGATTTTTTTGATGATTCAATTTGATGGTTATAAGAAATTCACTTTTTCCCTTTCTTTTGTTTTGATAGCATTTTTTATTTTTTTTATAGCAACTTTTTCCCTTTCTAATATTTTAGTGTTTGGAATTAGTAAGACGTGTAACTGTTTTTTTTTTGTTCTTTTTTGTAATTCGATCAATGAAAAAGCTCCATATCACATTTAATGTGCCCACATGTTTTATTTTTTACACGCACGCATATAGATTTTAATTTTACAAATTAAAATTGAAAAATTAATGAGTTAATGTACATATTTGACACAAATATATTTTGGTGGAAACTCATCGACAAGCATCCTTTTATATCGATTACTTATTTATTTGTTTTATCTTCGTTTTTCCCCTAGTATATTCTCTTATGAAAATGTTATTCATCCATCAATTTTTTTTTTTGTCCAGGTTTTGTACCCAAAGGGATAGGCAGTCTTGATAAACTTGATAAATTAGACTTATCCGGTAATTATTTCAAAGGACCTATTCCTTCCAACATATTCAACATTTCAACATTAACCTTGTTAAACCTTGGTGGCAACTCCCTCTCCGGCCTTCTCCCATCATATTTAGGAAACGGCCTTCTCAGTTTGGAGAAGTTACAGTTGTATGAGAATGAACTAACTGGACAAATTCCAAACAGCATATCAAATGCTTCTAAGCTCATTGCGTTAGACTTGTCATCGAATAAACTTACCGAAGCTATACCCAATGTAATTGGAAATTTAACAAGCTTGATTGACTTAGCTTTGGATGAGAATGAATTGATTGGTTTGATTCCATATACATTTGGCAAATTACAAAGCCTTCAACGTTTAAGCCTGAGCAACAACAAATTACAAGGTTCCATTATAAATGACCTTTGCCAACTCAAAAATCTAAATGAGTTGAATCTTGCTAACAACATGTTTTTGGGAGCAGTTCCGGGATGTCTTGGGAATACTTCTTTGCAAAAGTTGAATTTTAGCTCTAACAAATTTTTTTCCCATATACCCTCTTCTCTTTGGAGTCTCAAAGATTTATTGGTTTTAGACATATCCTCTAGTGCATTGAGTGGAATAATTTCACCGGAGATATCAAACTTGAGAGCAATTACACTATTGAATTTGTCAAGAAACCAAATTTCAGGAAACATCCCTACAACTATGGGTGGGTTGCAGACTTTGCAATACCTATCTTTGGCTCACAACAAATTGCAAGGGCATATACCTGAATCACTAAGTGGCATGATAAGTATTGAGTTAATAGATTTTTCCCATAATCATTTGTTTGGTGTGATTCCAAAGTCCTTAGAGTCATTGCACTATCTTAAATCTATTAATCTTTCCTACAATTTATTGGAAGGAGAGATTCCGAATGGTGGTCCTTTTCAAAATTTTACTGCTCAATCTTTTATGATGAATAAAGATCTTTGTGGAAAATCCCAGCTACAAGTCCAACCATGTAAGAGAGGAAACAAACACATATCAAATAAAGTGATGTTGGTGATAAAATGCTCAGTGTCTATCATGGTTGTCATTTTGGTTATTATAGGCATTGTCTTTCTAAAGCATAATAGAGATGATGCTAACTATGCAACCAAAAGGGGTTTAACAAATTTGGACGCACCAACTAGGATATCCTATTATGAGCTTCTACAAGGAACAAATGGATTTGATGCGAGTAATCTTCTTGGCTCTGGAAGTTTTGGATCAGTATATAAAGCAATTCTTCCAAATAAAAAGATAGTTGCTGTCAAAGTATTTAACGCAGATATGGAAGAAGCATTGAGAAGTTTTGATATTGAATGCACTGCCATGTGCAATTTACACCACCGCAATCTCATTAGGATTATTAGTAGCTGCTCAAACGATGATTTCAAGTCTCTAATTATGGAATTCATGTCAAATGGAAGTCTTGATAGATGGTTGTACTCTCATAACTACTGTTTAGATATCTTGCAGAGGTTAAACATAATGGTTGATGTGGCAAGTGCATTAGAGTACCTTCATCATGGTACTTCTATTCCGATTGTTCATTGTGACATAAAACCAAGCAATGTTTTGTTGGATGAAGACATGGTGGCTCATCTTAGCGATTTTGGTATAGCTAAATTATTAGGTGAAGGACAGTTGGAAACTTATACAAAAACATTAGCTACAGTTGGCTATGTGGCACCAGGTAATAGTTTAATAATAATATTTTAGTTCAATTATGTTTTTTTTATTATTCTATGCAAAATTTTATATTATTCAATCATTGATATGTAAACATATTTTCCATTCCTATATGCAAAGATTTTTATTAGCTCTATAAAAGAAAAGTTTAGCAGCAAAGCTTATATTCTCTTTTGACATATAGAGTATGGATCAAAAGGAGTGGTTTCTTTCAAAGGAGATGTGTATAGCTATGGTATCATGCTAATGGAAATGTTTACAAGGAAGAAGCCAACCGACAAAATGTTTGTTGAAGGTCTTTCTTTGAAAGATTGGGTTAGCAAATCAATACCGCATTCAATCATCAATATTTTAGATGTCAATTTGCTATGCAAAGGGAATCCAAATATTAGCAATATATTACAGCATATATCATCAATTTTTGAGTTAGCATTAAGTTGTTGCACTGAATCACCTGAAGCACGAGTTATGATGACTGATGTTGTGGTCTCATTGAAAAATATAAGTTTATATTCACATAAAACATTGGAGATGCGCCACTAGTTAAATAATCATTATACAGAAGTTTTAGTTACTGTTTCTTTTATCCTTTGGCTTAATTATCTTGTCTATGAAAATGCAGTGTGTCAAAATGGTGATGATTTATGTGTTTGTTATATTAATATATAAAGTCTCTGCATTTTTTGTAATTTGGAGATATGAAGAAAATTAGTTAAGTTGGTTATTTATAATAGATGAATTCCCTAAATTACTCTTATTTAATCATATGTATTGGAACTACCCTTAGGTGGAAACACTTTACAATCAATCGAGATATTTTGGACAAAATATTGTATATTTGAGAGACAAGTGAATTTATGTCTTATATTTAAGATCAAATTCAACCCCAACTAGCTCTTATATTTAAGATTGGAGGTAGTATTTTATATCATACTTAAGAAAACATGTTGTAATTACTAATTTCGTTGCCTTCCATCTTAATTACTAACTTCAATATTTAATATAAGAACTAGTTGAGAGTTGAATTTGATCATAAATATAAGACTTCAATTCATTTTGTTTTCCAAATTTATAAATTTTTCTCCAAATATTCTTATTGACTGTAAGGGATTCTTACTAAGGGGTAATTCGAATGCACATGATTAAATAGATTAGTTTAGAAAAATCAATACATATTTGTTACAAATAACCAGCTTAACTAATTTTTTTAATATCATCAAATTAGTTATCTAGTTGTTATATTAAAAACTGGAGATAGTATTAAATGAAATGATTTGAAAGGTCAATTATATATATACATATATATAAAGCAAAGTGCAGAGGAACATGTACAATCTTGAATGCCTAAAGAGAAACCCAACAACAATATACAATTTTCATAATCCAATCCTACACTTCATTGCATGGTTCCCAAGTTGGTTCTTATTTATTTTTGGTTTTTTTTTTCTCATTTACCCTTTGTTTAGTATGAGGGAATTGGAGGGGAGGACAAATTTTAATAAGCTTGGTTTAAAAAATTAGAGAAATGGGGTTATAAAATTTTGATAGAGAGAAGATGTAAGATAAAAGAGTAAGCAAAATTAGTCAAAACTTTTTAGCCCCACTTCTCTAATTTTTATTTTTTAAATTGAGTTCATTAAAATTTTTCTGCTCCTCCACTATATTTTTCTCATACCAAACAAACCTTACTTTTTTGTTATTGAACCACAACGAAAGAATTTGAGCTACGAGAGCCCATTATTGAAAGTTCAAACCAAGGGAACCCATTTTCTTAAGCCCGTTTTAAAAGTGAAACACTTGAAACGTTAAGATTAATAAGTTTATTATCAAATGACTTAGTGTTCGTTTGAGTTGGCCTATTTAAGTGTTTATATTATAAGTACATTTTATATAAATCAAGATAAAATTTTTTTCATATACTTATTTGATCTTTCATAAATCACGATTGAAATACTGCTTATAAACCGTTACTGAAAATTCATCGGTTGGGCCTATGAAGAAGAGTTTAGGTGGTATAAAGTGGACATTAGTATTGTGGAAAACGGTGTGAACTTTGTTGCCTGGTTCCCTTCTCTCCGAACAGTTGGCTATAAACACATTCAGTAAATTTTTACCCGTTTCCATTGCTTGATATCCAGTTAAGAGAGGTGATCATTACAACATTTTTTAATCTTTCAATAGTTACCTTATCGAATGTTTTCCTTATGAGTCAAATTATGTTCGGATAACAATTTAAATCAAGAAAAATATCTTTACTTATCTCTAAATTTTAATGACAAATTTTTATTGCAAATAGAAAAATATCTATATTATTATTTTATATTGGTTTCTTCTATAGTGTTTGTATATGAAATATCTGTGATAAATCATATTTTGCATGTGCTTAGAATGTATATTTTAGGCCACTTTAAGACATCAATTGAGCATTAATTGCATTAATAAATAAATAAAATGTTGATGCATTTAAGTAAAAGAATTGAGTAATTATGATATTTTTAATAGTTCTTATGAAAATTCCACAATTGGTGTTATGAATATTGCATGAGTGGATGTCCATAACCCCTAACCCTTAGAATTCTCATAGGATTCCTTACCTTCAAGTGTCATAAACTACATAACCTCCCTAATGAATGACTTGGGAGGAGTTTCTCATTGTTAATGCTATTATGATGTTCTTTATTCCTTTGTAACCTTAGTATAGGACTTCAATGCTTGGAGGCCTATAAATAGAGGGCATACATGAGGCATTTGTACCTTGAACCAAAGTGAATGAGAAAAGGCCATTGTCTTCTCTATCTCTTGCTTTCTTTTCTACTCTTCATTCTCCTTATTTCTTGTAGTTTTATAACACGTTATCAGCACGACCTTGCTCTGAAAATTTGAGGTATAAACCTTGTAAGATGATGCACTCTTCTCATCGTCTAATTATCTCCTTACTCAATCATCACAATATATATCTATGTATTGACTACATATTAACTTTATATTATCTTCTTTCTTAATTATCATGTTTTATTTATATAATGTTACTCTATTGTTCTTTTCTTTACATTTTAATTTTTTTTTCATTATGTTATATATATATATATTTATTTATGTTAACATTCTGTTTTATTTTAAGTCATTTTATTTTGTTGTCACATTGTAAAATATTATGTTTGTTTCAAATAATTGATGTAATTTATGTATCATCTCCATTTGGTATCTATGGTATTTTACATTATTTTATCTGTGTTGTACTAACTCTCATATACATATAATTTATAGTGTCCCATGTTGTTTTATCTATATTGTACTAACCCTCATATACATATATACATATATATATAATTTACTGTTGTTTTATCTATATTGTACTAACTCTCATATATATATATATAATTTACACTGTTTATATTTTTTTCCCCTATCATTCTATTTGTTTGTATTTATTTATGTTGTTTATATATGTTGTTTATATATAATAAGGCCTAATAATTTATATGTTGTTTATTCATTATTTATCAATTTATATTTATTTCGTTTATCTTACTGTAGCATTATTTTTATTTTTATTTTTAGTTTAATTTTTATTATATATTAGTTAGTCTATTGTAATATTTATATATTTATTTATATTACCGCATTTACATTACCGCTTTCCCCCTTCCCCCTATATATATTTATATATACATTGTCCCTATATTATTATTGTAACTAATTATTTGTGTTTGTTTATTTTTTTTTCCTCATATATGTTTATTTGTCATTGTTTATTTATTCATTTATTTTGTTTATAATTTTAAAGAATAATTTATTTATGGGTGACTTTTGAATCCTAATATTTTATTTATTGTGTTTCAGTGTGCATCAATTTTATTATAATTCTAATTTTTGTTATTATCATTTTAGTTTGATCCATGGCCAATCTTACCAAACTCGAGTTTACGGCTCTTGATATCACTGGAAAAAACTATTTGTCTTGGGTCTTAGATGCTGAAATCCACCTAGATGCCAAAGGTCTAGGAAGTACTATTTTACCTGGAAATGAAGCAACTAGCCAAGACAAGGCTAAGGCTATGATTTTCCTACGCCACCATTTGCATGAAGGGTTGAAAGCTGAATACCTGACGGTAAAAGACCCGTTAGAATTGTGGAATAATTTAAAAGAAAGTTATGATCATCAAAAAACGGTAATTTTGCCTAAAGCTCGTTATGAATGGATGCATTTGAGGCTCCAAGATTTTAAATCTGTGACTGAATATAATTCAGCAGTTTTCAAAATAAGTTCTCAATTGAAATTATGTGGTGAGAAAATAACAGATGAGGACTTATTAGAAAAAACATTTTCAACTTTTCATGCTTCAAATGTGCTCCTGCAGCAGCAATATCGTGAAAAGGGTTTTAAGAAATATTCTGAATTGATCTCATGTCTTCTTGTGGCTGAACAAAATAACGAGCTATTAATGAAAAATCATGAGATCCGTCCCACTAGATCAGCTCCATTCCCTGAAGCGAATGTGACTGTACGCAATAATCATCATACACGTGGACGCGGTCGTGGTCGTGGTCGTGGCCGAGACCGTGGTCGTGGTAGGGGACGCACAAATTACCGTCATTATGGTGGGGGAAGCAACAATTATAACCCAAATACCCACCAAAAGAAGAAACTTGGGGATGGGCAGAAAAAAGATAAGAATGGCCCTTCAAGAGTTGTTGAAAATCAATGTTACCGGTGTGGCATGAAAGGACATTGGTCACGTACCTGTCGTACGCCTGAGCATCTAGCAAAACTTTATCAGGCCTCTATAAAAAGAAGTTCAAATAATGTGGAAGCAAATTTGACTTTTCAAAGTGATGATGTGGAAGCAAATTTTGCATACAAAAATGATAATATCAATGAGCTAGATGATGTTAATGGCCTTGATGCTATGGCACATTTGGATGTGGCTGATTTCTTTGAGAATCATGATTAGAAGAATTTGGATAATTTTAGTTTGCTTTATTTATGCTTTTTAATTTAGTTTATGTTTATTTATTTCTCTTTTTTTAAGAGTATTATTAATCATGATGTACTTCGAATTTATATTAATGAATGTTTTTTTTTCGGTGAAGAATATGGATGTTTCTCTTCCTTTTGTTGGGCACAAGAATGAAGATATATGCCTGATAGATAGTGCTACAACACACACCATACTCAAAGATAGAAAATATTTTTCTCATCTTACGATAAATAGTGCAAGCGTCAATACTATAGCGGGTAATACAAAACTAATTGAAGGCTCCGGAAGAGCAATTATAATATTACCCAGAGGAACAAAATTTGTTATTAATGATGCTTTATATTCCTCTAAGTCTCAAAGAAATTTATTAAGTTTTAAAGATATTCGCCAAAATGGATATCATGTTGAGACTATAAATGAGAAGAACATTGAATATTTGCATGTTACAATGGTAAGAAATGGAGAAAAATATGTCATGGAAGAATTACCGACATTATCTTCTGGTTTGTACTATACAAATATTAGTACAATTGAAACAAATGCTACGGTAAACCAGAAGTT